TAAGTAAACACATCAAACATTCCTTAAAAAATACAAATAAACCCCACTACGAACACAAAGTGCACAGATGTAGCACGTTCAACAAAAGTTATGCTTTACATAAAAAGATCATAAACAAGACAGAATATCGAATTAAACATTGATCACAAACAAAAAGGGAGATCATCTGTGTAATGCTTAGCATAGTACAGTTATCAGCAAACAAGGATTAGCCAAAGCCAAGGATGCCAACATCACTAACGTCAAAGACAAGAATGGCATATTTACTTCTTCTTTTCTGCCATTTTAGCATGGTTTTCTGATCATCATAGCTTCACAACTGCATTCATTGCAATGCTAAATGCCATTTGTGCATGGGAGAAGTCTACCATGTAGAACTGAGCTTGCAATGCAAACCCTCCAGCAAACAAGCCAAGAAAGATTAACTGTGAATTCACTGCTTTGACACACTTCACCAAATTTGTATAATGGCAAAATTAGTTAATAACTAATACAGTGATTATTAGTATGTTTACAGACAATGCGAATAATGAATGATGTGATTGATGATTACACTCCACAGCAATTTCAAGGATAAACAAAGTACACCTTTGTATTATATTCCAAAAGAAATAGTTCTGCTCATGATTTTACTGCTAAAGACTATAAAGATGATGAAGTACATGTACTGTTTCACAAACTAATAAATACATTCTGGATTATCAATATGGGGGCAAAAAGTTAATAAACAGTCACTATATTGGCTTTTAATGTTCTGGTTTTCAGTCAAGCTAAACACAGAATGTGATATAGAACAAAAGGGTGCCACATGTTTAACAATCATGAGTTTGTCCTATTTACATATCAATAACATGTGCTGCTATTGATATTAAATGACTTTGAATGACAATGACTTCTACACCACTCCAATTCCCAAGAGTACATGATTAATGCCTAATTTCTCCATACAATATCAAAAAGCTGTTAATCAGTCAGGCATAGCCTGCAGTGCAGACGTCTTATTGGGGCGAGTTAGCGTTACAACCTTGCGACTGCCCTTTTAGACCGCCATGTTAGACGGTGGGGGATGGGGGAGAGGGAAANAAATACATTCTGGATTATCAATATGGGGGCAAAAAGTTAATAAACAGTCACTATATTGGCTTTTAATGTTTTGGTTTTCAGTCAAGCTATATACAGAATGTGATATAGAACAAAAGGGTGCCACATGTTTAACAACCATGAGTTTGTCCTATTTACATATCAATAACATGTGCTACTATTGATATTAAATGACTTTGAATGACAATGACTTCTACACCACTCCAATTCCCAAGAATGCATGATTAATGCCTAATTTCTCCATACAATATCAAAAAGCTGTTAATCAGTCAGGCAATGAGAATAAAGAACACAGTCAACTAAACTAAGCTTATTGTCTCTAGTAAGGTAACACCAAATACAGTGTAATCTGGTGAGATTATTACTAGCCAAAATTACCTGCATTGATGCGCAAAATAAATATGAATATTAGCACCATTATGTGAGATGTAAAACAATCCTACCACCTGATAGCTATGACACTTGTTAGGTGTTTCATTATGTTATTTTTACAACTTTTACTAACGATAATAGACCATATTTGTATTCTCGGTATTGGACTGGAACTAGCTTGCA